TAAGTTTGCCAAGATCTTTGGTCTGAAAATGGTGACATAGATGTTGTTTCAACTGAGAGATGTCATGGTTGTCGCTACCTGTAAGAACATGTCATCAACATATACTATCAAGTAAATACATCCAGCACTCAGTGTTGATAAAAGACAGAATGATTTGGTTCACATCGAGTCATACCAAATTGTTGAACAACCTTGCTAAACTTTCTAAATCAGGCCCTAGGAGACTGTTTTAGGCCATATAGAGATTTGTGAAGACGACATACCATCCCAGAAGACTTCCCCTTAAAAACAAACCCAGAAGGTTGCTCCATATAGATTTCTTCTTGCAAATCACCATTGAGAAAAATATTTTTAACATCTAGTTGATAAGGAGATCATTGTTGAAGAGCGGCCATGACGATAAATAAACGAACAAAATCCATTTTTGCCACTGGGGAAAAAATATCTCCATAATCCAACCCAAAAATTTGAGTATAACCTTTGGTCACAAAACGAGCTTTGAGACGATTAATAGTACCATCAGGTCAAACTTTGATAGCAAACACCCACCTACAACCAACAACAGATTTTCCAGACGGTAACGAGACCAATTCCCAAGTTCCACTATTATGAAGAACACTTAGTTCATCTAACATGGCCTGATGCCAACCAGGATGGGCTAAAGCTTCATGGACAGTTTTTGGAATGGTCACAGAAGAAATATAGGAAAGACATGTATAAAAAGGTAATGACAGTCGATGATAACTCAAAATAATATAATGGGGAGAGGAATTACGTGTAAAACGAATACCTTTTCGGAGGGTAATGGGAAGGTCAGACTTAGGTGTTAGATCCAGAGGAGACAGAGTAGTTGGCACTTGAGTGAAGTCAAATGGTGGTGGTTGTGATTGATTTCGGCAACTATAAACCTGAAGAGGCGGTGGAGAAGAAGCTAACTGCGGAATAGGAACTAATGGTGAAGAAGACATAGTTAGAGGGTCACACACAACAGGAACATTAAATGTATTAGGAGTGTTGACAGGACTGGATGGAGACAGAGGTGAAGATTGACTTTTAAAATAAAGAGAGAACTCATCAAAAGTGACATCTGCAGACACAAAATAACGGTTAAGAGAAGGAGAAAAACATTTGTATCCTTTTTGTGATCTTGTAAACCCTAAGAAAACACATTTATGTGATCTAGGAGAAAACTTATCAAGATCAGGGCTTAAATTATGAACAAAATTGTATATCACCGGTCAAAAATGAAACTTCAACGACGACTCCGATAACTGCTCCGACGGCGGCGACAGTGACAACAACATGAACCAGTACACCAGGTAAGTTCCCAGGAAAGAGAGGTGGGTCACTAATGGACACGCTTAAATACTAAGTCTTTCCTTGTCAGAACCTTCCTAGACATGCACTTTCACACTACCAAATAATATCCAGTAACAAAGATAACTCTTTTCTGATGTGGAAGATTAGTTTAACCGACAACAGCGGCGATGACGACTTCAGTAGTGGATACTGGCGAAAAAATTTCAAAATAACCTTAAGCTTTAGATACCATGTTGAATATAGAGGAAATACAGTTTGAGATAAGGTCCCTTGTGTATAAACCACACATAGGGTAATCTATTTATAATAGAGAGAGGTACAACTAAAAGAGTAATCGAAAGTAAACAAAATAAACAGAAGATATTGTTTGACTCCTTAACATGGTACGATGCATGTTAAAAAGCAAAGATTTACCTTTGTTTTTATGGGAAGAAGCTGTGTTGACAATCACCTATATTTTGAACCAATCACCCACCAAACGTCTTAAAGGAATAACTCCAAAAGAAGCCTGAACCGAAAAGAAGCCTGAACCGAAAAGAAACCTGATGTTACTCATTTGAGAATTTTTTGCTCGTTATGTTACTAACATGTACTAGACCAATTGAGGCAAAAACTGGATGACAAAGGTATACCTCTTATTCTAATTGGGTATCACTCAACTGGTGGCTACAAGCTATATAATCCTGAAACAGGAAGAGTCTTAATCAGTAGGGATGTTGTAATTGATGAGGCATCATGTTGGAATTGGAAAACAAGCAATCAAATAAATATTCTTGGAGATATGTCACAACCTAGCATCATACTAGGTGACAATTTTGCTATAATGGGAGTAGACAACACATCTATCGTTGATGAACGAAGTGGCCAAGCGATAAGAAAATCACACAGGGTTACTTAATTACCATCACATTTTCAGGATTATGAGATTTTTAATGGTTTAACAATTACATTTAAAGGAAATCTAGTGCACTTTGCACTAGTTGTAAAAGCCGAATCTCTAGAATTCAAGGATGTCATCACAAATGCAAATTGGTTGAAAGCAATGCATTTAAAAATCAACTCTATAGAAAAAAAATCAAACCTGGGAATTAGTTAATCTTCCTCTAAACAAAAGACTTATAACATTGAAATGGATTTACAAGATAAAGATGAATCCAAAGGGGGAAGTTATGAGACATAAAACCCAACTAGTGGCAAAAGGTTTTTTGCAAAATACTAAGGTTGATTATGGTGCGATATACGCTCCAGTAGCAAGAATTAAGACCATTTGTGTCATTGTCTCAATTGCAACCAATGAAAATTGGTTTGTGCACCAATTATATGTGAAATAAGCCTTCTTGAATGTGCCAATTGATGAAGAGGTATATGTTATGCAGCCTCAGGGTTTTGAAATTAAGGGGCAAGAACACAAAATATACAAGTTGAACAAGACTTTATATGACATCAAGCAAGCTCTAAGAGCTTGGAAGCTTAGAATTTACACTTTTGTCCATCAAGTTGGTTTTGAGAGGTGTGTGACAAAACATGGTGTGTACATGAAGTATTCCCACAGTGACAAAAGGAAAGATAAACTAATCGCGTGATTAGAAGCAGAACAAATTTGATCACTCAATTCAAATTTCAAATGTTGAATGAGTTTAAAATGAGTGACCTTGGTGAACTCAATTATTTTATGGGAATTGAGTTTCTTCGTACAGAACATGGCATAATGATACATCAAACTAGGTATGCAAAAAAATTATTATCAAAATTTGGTATGGATCAGTGTAATCTTGTAGCAACAGTAGTTGAAGTTGATATGAAACTAGAAAAGGAAAACAATGAAGAGCATGTAGATCCCTCTCTACCGCAAGATTGTTGGGTGTTTGAGGTATTTGTGCAACATTAGGCTAGATTTAAACTTTGGTGTTACTCTAATAAGCAGGTTCATGTAAAACCCGAAACTATCTCACATGCATGCTGCTAAAAAATTATTAAGGTATCTATATCGCACCTATGATTATGGAATCTTTTTCCCAAAGAAGCTAGATGAGGGATTCAAGATGGTTGGATATAGTGATGTAGACTGGTGTGGAGACAAAAATGATAGGAAAAACATTGTTATGTGTTTTCCTACGGAGGTGCACCAGTGTCATGGAGTTCAGTTGAGGAATCTGTTGTAGCTTTATTTTCTTGCGAGGCAAAATACATAGTAACATCAAAAGTTATATGCTAGGCAGCATGGTTAGGAATTGAAAGTTGATCTGGTACAACAAACAATGCTCTTAGTGGATAATAAATCTGCAACAGACTTAGCTAAACATCATACTTCTTATGGTAGGAACAAACACATTGAAACAAGATTTCATATCCTACATAAACAAGTTAACAATTATGAACTTGAAATGGTGTATTGCAAGTTTGAAGTATAACTTACTGATATATGTATCAAAACCCTAAAGACAGAAAAATTTAGATACCTTAAAGACTCTATTGATGTTATTAAGATTTTATCTTAAGAGAAATGTTATGAATAAGTCAAAATTTAAAAATTAGCTTAATAAGTTACATTATTTATTTATGTTATATTTATTTTTCTTTATATAAATACCATAGTTGTTCTGGTTTTTAATATAACAGAGATGTTATTTTCCTGTAATTGTTATTCTCTTGTTCTTATAAATACAACAATCTTTTGGAATTAAAAAAATTGTCCGAAATCAATACTATTTTATTCTATTTCAAAAATTTGAGTAAAAAAGAATTTAATAATATTACAAATTGAGTATTGTTTTATTCTATTTGGAATTTTCATGCATAACTTTTTCATTTCAAAATAAAGGATAATCTCTTCAAATTATTTAAATAATATTCAAAATTGTATTTTTCATTATTGCTCTATTGTTCTTATTTATTTTATTTTTTATATTATTCGTTCTGAAATGTCCAATGTTTTAGAGTCTGTATTTCGGATTTTCTTCAAAAGGATGTTGAATTCATTTTGGAACGATCATTTTAAAAGGGTAATTGAATTTTTCCGAAACCTATAAGATTTCTCTGGGTTCAACTGTTTTAAAAGGCACTTAAAAACAAGTTGAAAATTTTATATTTTTCTATTTTTTAGGATGCAAGTTGACATTCCTAACGTGAAAAAAAAAAAACAGTCCTAAAATATAGTTCAGCACACTAAAATATATTAATTCGTGATGCATTAATATAGGTAATTTAGATTAACTTGACATTTACACATGCATAAACATATAGGTGATTACACAAATATTAATGAGTAACACATGGTTGACTCTTCTTATCTCATACAAACATTAATATTTGAGAAGTGGATTAGGTTCAATTTATATATATATATATATATATATATATATATATATATATTACAAATTTAATTTTGTTATAAATGATTATATCTTGAATTGTTATTTATATTTTAATTTAAACAATATGTAAAAGCTAATAAACATATGAGAATGAGATTATATTTTTAGTTAAATATATGATTTTATAATTTAAATTATTTATTATTTAAATAATTCATTTATTTTACTATTTATTATGAATAGAGAACATAAGATAAGATCTTAACTAAATAAAATCCAGGCAAACAAAAATATAAATGTGAACCGGTTGGATAATCCGCTGGCGGTTTGACTGGACCGGATGAGTTAAGTAATAATTTTTAAGAAATGGAAAATGGGGGTAAAACCATAGCAGACAGCAACAATCAATTACATAGCTGCAACAACCAACACAGGCAGCACCAACCTCCCTCTTTCTCTTCTCTTCTTCTGCTCTCTACGCGCCCAATTCGCCTTCTTCTCCTCCATTTTGATTCTCTCTCTGTACTTTCTCTCTCACACCTTCATTTCCGTCGAATCCTCGATCGGAGCCGGCGATCGAACCAAACGCCACTCCGAGCCGGACTCTTCTTGAAGGTATGCCAAGCTATGACCTCTATTTCCTTCTTCCTCGTTTTCCGTGTATCTGAAGCAGCAATGTCGGTTTAGTTACGATTCGTGCGTTTTCTTTCATTGACTTTCCAAGTTTTTATCGAATCGTGCGCGAATGCGCGCGATGTAGCGGAGAGATCTGCTATTTCTCGATCTGTTTTTGCAATCCGAGGGGATCCGAGTCGATTTGATTGTTTGAGTTTGTGTTCGAGCAAGATCCGAGACTTGTTTTTGGCCAAGCGACGACTTCTTGCGCTGGATGATCGTGTGGTTGTTTTTGCTTACAGTTGTTGCGTTCTCGTTGGTTTGAATTGATTTCAAATGTTTAGCTTAGCTAAACGGTGGAGCTCGTTTCAGTGTCAGTGTTTTGAGCTTCCAGCAGTGCACTTTACTTCATTTAGTTATTGAAAATTGTTCTCAACTCAAATCTAAGCGAATGAACTAGTTATTTGAGTTGGCCGAGGAAGCTAATGAATTTACTCCTAATGTGTACTGTAGACTCATTGTATATGAAGTTTTTTTTTTTTTTTTCATCTTTATAATTTTTTCTTGTGTGATTGGTCAAACTAAAGATTGTTTTGCTTACTCTAGTTGCCACGCAGAAGGACCTTTGGTACTGAAATCTTTGATGAGTTGTCATTGTCAATCATTTACCTGCTGTTGGTTTGCCGGGTCAATACATAGTGTGCAACTCATCTAATAACCTTTATTACTGCGTTTAGGTTCAATTTTATGCATATGCAGTGTAAGATTTGACTCACACCGGATCCAGATTAAGTGCAGTCATTTTTGCCCGTGCATTTTGTGCTTTTATAATTGTTGGATGAAGATCAGACGGCTGAGATTTTGAATGTTTTTTAAGTTGATTCACCCATATAGAATCTGAGCCATCTGATCTTAGCTGTGGTTCTAAATTGCTGAATGTGTTCAAAAGTGAATGCAGGGAATGTGGATCTGAGTATAGACCATTATGGAAGCATTTTCCATTTTCGTTTTCTAATTGGTTTCTATCCAAATGGACTGTGGTTTCATGTTTGATGAATGGCATAATGTCTGTGGATTGCGCATAATTACATAATGCCTGTTTATGCATAGAACTTGCTGTTCATTAAGTTGTTTTGTGGTTATTGTAATTTTACTAATTATTGCTTACAGGTGGATTGGGCTTTCATAATTGGAATGAATAATTTTTAGCTTACTCATAATATTTTGATGGAAGAAAAGGAAGAAACAAAAGAGATAAAGATATCTCATAATGAATTAGTAGATAGCGGTGTAAAACAACTTATCGAGAGTCCTCATCAGGAAAATGTTAATTCTAGCAATAGTGTTGGGGTTGAACTTATAGATGAAAGGCCTAACTTGCCAGAACAAGTTACTGATTCTGTAACAACAGTAATGGACGAGGACCAGTTTGAGCAAGTATCTTTAAAAGACCAAGAGAAGAATAATGAGCATGAGGGTCCAAACCGCTCATCTGGTTCTGATAATAAACAGCACCTATTTGGTGGAAATGCGGAGGATTTTCGATATTCATTTGGGTCAAACTCTATAGAGAATGATTCTTCCCTAGTCATGCATCATGATAATCTTTCTTGTAGCCCAGGGTCAGAAGGACATTATGGTCATACATCCAAGCATTTTCCCTCATCAATTAGTTTTGATTCTATTGGATATTCTGCTGTTAATTCTCCACCAAAGCCAAGACAAAAACATGCAAAGCCGAATGTCTCTCCAGAATTGCTCCATTTAGTTGATTCTGCTATAATGGGGAAACCTGAAGGTGTGGACAAGCTGAAGAATATTGCAAGTGGGGTAGAATATTTTGATAGTGGGGAAGAAATGGATAGTGTGCCTTTCTTAATTGTAGATTCACTTCTTGCAACAATGGGTGGTGTTGAAAGTTTTGAAGAGGATGAAGATAATAATCCTCCTAGTGTGATGCTGAATTCCCGGGCTGCAATTGTAGCAGGTGAACTTATTCCTTGGCTTCCTTATGCAGGTGATAATGATGATGTGATGTCACCAAGGACACGGATGGTTAGGGGACTGCTTGTGATATTAAGGGCTTGCACTAGAAATAGAGCAATGTGTTCAATGGCTGGCCTATTAGGAGTGCTGTTGAGAACAGCAGAAAAAATTTTCACGGTGGATGTTGGCTTAAATGGGCAAATGAGGTGGGATGGAACTCCTTTGTGCCAGTGCATACAATACTTAGCAGGCCATTCTCTCATTGTGAGTGATCTTTGTAGATGGTTTCAAGTGATTACAAAAACACTTACCACAATTTGGGCTCCACGATTAACGCTTGCATTGGAGAAAGCAATAAGTGGAAAGGAGTCAATGGGACCAGCTTGCACCTTTGAGTTTGATGGTGAAAGTTCTGGGTTGCTTGGTCCAGGTGAAAGTCGTTGGCCATTTATCAATGGGTATGCTTTTGCTACATGGATCTACATTGAATCATTTGCAGACACATTAAATACAGCTACAGTTGCTGCTGCAATTGCTGCAGCTGCAGCAGCTAGGTCGGGTAAATCATCAGCTATGTCAGCTGCTGCTGCAGCTAGTGCACTTGCTGGTGAAGGTACAGCACACATGCCACGTCTGTTCAGCTTTTTATCCGGTGATAATCAGGGTATAGAGGCTTATTTCCATGCTCAATTTTTGGTTGTTGAAACTGCTAGTGGAAAGGGAAAGAAATCTTCTTTGCATTTTACCTATGCTTTCAAACCGCAATGCTGGTACTTCATTGGTCTTGAACATATAGGCAAGAATGGAATTCTTGGGAAAGCAGAAAGTGAAGTCAGATTGTATGTAGATGGATCTTTATATGAAAGTCGTCCTTTTGAGTTTCCTCGAATTTCCAAACCTCTTGCCTTTTGCTGCATAGGGACTAACCCTCCTCCTACTATGGCTGGTTTGCAACGCCGTCGTCGTCAATGTCCTCTGTTTGCTGAGATGGGTCCTGTTTACATCTTCAAGGAACCAATTGGCCCGGAAAGAATGGCATGCCTGGCTTCTAGAGGAGGGGATATAGTTCCTTCTTTTGGTAATGCTGCCGGGCTACCATGGCTAGCAACTAATGCGTATGTGCAGAGGAAGGCAGAGGAAAGTATGCTTTTGGATGCAGAAATAGGAGGTTGCCTTCACCTGCTCTATCATCCTAGTTTGCTCAGTGGGCGTTTCTGTCCAGATGCTTCACCTTCCGGTGCTTCAGGTTTGATGATTTCTATTGATTCTTTTACGATGATATGTGAGTAATGAATTTCTAAACACTGCATAAAAGCATATTGATTTTTCATGCAGAAAGTCCCCTGGTTCCTGGTAAATAATCATTGGAAGGTTAGTTTGTGGATTTATATGATGGAAATAAAAAAATGATTGACTATATTTTGGGTTAGTGTTTGGTCATCATCACAATGGTGTTTCTTTCTCTAATCTCTCGTAGTAAAAAAAATTTCGTTTTTCTTATTACAAGGATGCTTCTACATCAATTCCAACTCTTTAATTCTTCATATCTGATAGTTTATTTTCTTTTGTTTTAAAACTATATAACTGTGTGTGTTTGGGAATCATGAGAAGGACAGTTAGGGACTTGCCTTAAGCTCATATCCATACATATAAAGTTGCATTATTGTTTATAATTTTTTTTACAATGAATATTAATTAAATTAAAGGGTGGGTAAATGGTATGAAATTCATTAAGAAGTAGACATATTATTACTGGTCTATCTGTGATTAAGCTGTTTCATGAGGTTATCTTGTATAGTTCACTATTTAATAGGATTCTGTTTCTCTCATTGGTTTTAGTCTTACAACTATACAAGTAGATAGGATAAATTGATTCTTAGAATTTGAACTTAAGGCCTAATTTGATGTTATGAAACTTGCTTGTAATGTAGTGAATGCCCAACTTTTACAAGTTTTATTAAACCATATCTTTAGTCGATATGAGACTAAACACCACCCTTGAGACTTCAATTAAGACAGTTCCCAAATATGCTACAACTAAGATGGGCTAAGGGTGGCTGCATTTAATGTTGCTTCCAACACAATTCTCCTGACCAAGGCTACCAGCCTGGAGTGTGGTAATGTGGGTGGCCTTATAATGGATTCAGGTTAGCCTTTGACGCCATCTTAGAATTTGTTTGAGATTTAACTCAATTGCATAAAATTGATTTGTAAAGTGAGGAACGCCAAACTTTATTTAAGACATACCTCTTTAGTCAATGTGGGACAAAACAAGCTCAATTATTTAAAGGGGCCAACACTTAAGGGTTCGAGTTGGAGAGTAATGATTTGTGAATAGCTCATTTAGAGACAAACTCACGCATGCATGCATGCACACATAGATATCATAGAATAATTAAAATTAGTTATTGTATGAAAACATTTTGTATATTCCTTCTAATGACATTTTTATAAAAATATTTTTATTTGCTACATATATAGGAATATATAAAGAAACTAAGTCTTTTTTATATGTAAATATGAGTAAGTATAAAAATTTATGAGTAAAAACACTAATGATAATTAATATCAATAATGTAATTAAAGTTAGGTTATAAATGAGTTAAACAATGCAAACTCAAGCTTTATCTTTTTTCTTAACAAGTCAAGCTCAAACATTCACTTAAACTCATTTAAATAAATGAGTCAATCTTGATCAACCAATTTTTTTCACAAGCCAAGTCTATATGTTGGTTTTCAGCTTGAATAATTTTCTTTTACATCCATAATAACAAGTGAGACTGATTTGCAGCACTAATAAATTTACTGCCGTGCCTTTTTTTCTGTACTTCTGTAACTTCTTAGTTCTTAGCAGTCCTCTGTCGTAGTCCTATTCCTTTGATCAATGATGGTTGGTGCTTTTCTTTTATTATAGTGTTTAATTATGCAACAACGACCTGTTTGTCAGATAACAAATGCATTGGTCTTGAGAAAAATTATTTGTCATAAGCATTTCTGTATTTAAATCTTACATCCTTAAGTTTTTTAAGATATATTTACTGTCATTGCAATATAAAATTTCTTTTATACATTAGGGTGCATCTAGTTTTCTGTATTTTGTTCTAGTCTTATGGTTCCTTTATAATGATTCAGGAACTCTTCGGCGACCAGCAGAGGTTCTTGGGCAAGTCTATGTTGCTACACGAATGCGACCAGTGGATGCTTTGTGGGCATTGTCCTATGGTGGTCCTTTGTCTTTGCTTCCTTTGGCTATAAGCAATTTACATGATAATACTCTGGAACCTCAGCAAGGGAATTCACCTTTGTCTTCAGCCACTGCTTCTCTTGCAGCCTCAATATTTAGAATTATATCCGCAGCTATTCAACATCCAAGGAACAATGAAGAATTGGCTCGTGGAAGAGGACCAGAGGTTTTATCAAAAATTTTGAATCATCTTCTCCAAACTCTATCTTTACTTGATGATAGAAAGCATGATGGTGTAAAAGACGAGGAACTTGTTGCTGCTGTTGTATCCCTCTGTCAATCTCAGAAGATCAACCATGCACTTAAAGTGCAGCTCTTCACAACACTGCTGTTAGATTTAAAAATTTGGAGTTTGTGTAGTTATGGCATACAAAAGAAGCTTCTATCATCTCTTGCAGATATGGTTTTCACTGAGTCAATGGTAATGCGAGATGCTAATGCCATTCAGATGCTTCTTGATGGCTGCAGAAGATGTTATTGGACTGTTCCTGAAATTGATTCGTTAAATACTGTTTCTCTAACGGGGGCTACTCGTCCAGTAGGTGAAGTCAATGCTTTGGTTGATGAGCTCTTGGTGGTAGTTGAACTTCTCATAGTGGCAGCACCTCCTTCATTGGCCTCAAATGATGTCCGATGTTTACTTGGATTCATGGTTGACTGTCCACAACCTAACCAGGTAAAGCAGTAACATTGAAGTGGTTTTGTTTTTGGTGTGGGCAATAAGAAGGCATTGTCAGACAAGACACTACAATGTCACACACAGAGATAAGAGTGCAGTTAATGATACTAATTGCATTTGATAGAATAGAATTTCACAGTATACTTTTTCTGTAGTTTTTTCTTATATGGCTTCCAGAAGCGTGATAACTTGTTTGATGCCGTCAACTGAGTTTTTTCATTATTAAAAGTTTATCATTTCGAATGCAGTGTTTCTTTATTATCTTCAAGGTACTTGTTTCATCTGGCATTCAGCTAGTGGTTTTGTTCTTTATGGAGTTTCACTAGGTTGGGGGTTTGGTAGTGTATTTCATGTTTGAGCGGGTTCTTTTCTTATCTGTATCTTATATCTATCTCTTCCCTTACTCTTATTATTATATTAAAAGTATCTTTCTTTTTGTTTTATGATACAAATGGTTGTTATCATTTAGTTCCTTTCACCCAGAGACTCCTTCCCATGCAATACTCGTGTGGCATGTGAGATTGTTGCCTTGTGATCTGGCAATGTTTTGGTGACAAGCCAAAAAAAATCTGTCATAATAATATGGCAACTGATGTTGCCGTTTATGGCACAAGCATGGTAACACAAACAAAGACATGCATATAAAGTATACAACAAAAATTGTTGAATGTAATAAGAAAAACTAATAACATATATTACAAACAGTAAATTAGAAACATGTTCTAGAAAATAAAATTGAACAAAAGTATCTATCAACAACGTGAGGGAACAATGTGCAGAGAGACCATAGATGAACAAAGAGGAAATAATGGTTTGAGAGAACTGAGAGGAACAAGAACTGGTAATCAAGAGAGCATAGAAAGAGAATGCATGGTTGGCTAGAGAGGTTACATGAGAATTGAACTTCAGAATAAGGGGAGAGGAAACACTAAGTACTATAAAGAGAGGAGTAAAGCAAATAGTATCAGTTTTTTTTTGTCTTGAGAAACTGCATATTGATGGGGTTTGCTGGTGATGAGCCCATTGGTTAGAGAATGGCTGGGTAGGTTGGACAATCACTGGAGCTGGTGGATGTGGTTGCATAGTTCATTCAATTTTTGCAGAGCAGAGGTCATTTGTCCATAGAGCAAGTTGTGAAGGTTGTTTGAGTTCCTTTATCTTTTGAAAGAATAGGGCCTAAACTGCTTTTTCTGTGGTGGATCACCATGGCCACATGACAGAGGTGACTTCCATTATCTGTGTTGAATATAGAGGAAATAGGGTTTGAAATTAATCTCCTTGTGTATAAACCACACATAGGGTAATCTATTTACAATAGAGAGAGTTACAACTAAAAGAGTAACTGACAGTAACAGAATAAACAGAAGATATTGGTTCATATTTTGGTTAACAATATCTAACTATATCTTAAAAATGTCAAACAATATCTAACAATCTGCAATGAAAAACTTACAATGTCATTGGAGTCTAATGATATAATGTTCAACTCCCGCAATCCCATCAGGGGTGGTAATGCCATGGCACCCCTGGCTGCTACTTGAGGACAGTGACCTGGTGACGGTGGTTATAGGGTATAGTCATGATATCAGTCACTGCAGTCATGATAGTATGGTTGTGCACATCTGTTTCAGTTCAAACCCAACACCTGTGAAAGCCATGTGTTGTGCTGCATTTTATATGGCACAACAGTCGTGAAACACCTAGCTAGCTAAATATCTGTAATAGTTCCTGATTACTAATAGATTATATATTTTGCAGTATGTTGTGTGTTAGATTTCAATAAATTAAATGCATGTTCTGGATCTCATGAATCTTAAGTGGTTTTATTGAATTTTGTAAAATATTGTGTTACATTTAATATAAGGCTTTGGTTTTATTTTTATTTCTTATTATTTAGATAAAATTGTACTAATTTATTATTTCAATTTCAGGTTGCTAGGGTGTTGCATCTTTTCTACAGATTGGTTGTCCAGCCAAATGCATCTAGGGCTCACATGTTTGCGGAAGAATTCCTAGCATGTGGTGGCATAGAAACTCTTCTTGTTCTGCTCCAGAGGGAAGCTAAAGCTGGAGATAGTAATGTCCTGGATTCATGGTCAACAAATCCTGAACTTCAAAGAACTGAGATTAGTGGTGGTAATGAAATGACAAAAGGAAGTCAAGAGGGGGAAGGGTCACGGGAGAAAAGTGAAGCCATCTTACAAGACAATGACCAAGGTTCTCTATCTGTTGATAGTGGCAGTAGCCATGATCCTATTTCTCCTGTATTTGCTTCTGAAATTCCTTCTGTCAAGAATTTGGGAGGCATAAGTCTATCCATTAGTGCAGACAGTGCTAGAAAAAATGTTTACAATGTTGATAAAAGTGATGGCATTGTTGTTGGGATCATAGGTCTCTTAGGTGCTTTAGTAGCTTCAGGACATCTGAGAATTGGTTCCCGAGCCGGTCCTGATACAACAAGCAACCTTTTGGGTGTTGGACTCCATGACAAAGGTGGTACTATGTTTGAAGACAAAGTCTCTCTTCTACTTTATGCTTTACAAAAGGCTTTTCAAGCAGCACCCAACAGGCTAATGACTAACAATGTTTACACATCTTTGTTGGCTGCGTCGGTATGGCTACCTTCACCATATATCCCCACTCCACTTTCCTAAACTGTTGTGCAAATATGGCAATTATATTATCTTTTTTATTTATTTTATTAAAGTTCTATCTGCAATGTCTTTACCTTGATTTTTTCAGTATAAACCATTCTTCATTTTTGGCTATTATAAGCTTATATTTCTCTGAAAATTTGCAGCATATTTGCATAAAAATATTCAAGAATATATATAAATGGGCTTGCATTTGTTAATATGAGCAAAATTTTAAGCTTAATTTTGAAATTATATATTTTTTGTTTATATTGATATATCAATATGCTGCTTACATTAATAGAATTATAAATTTATCAATTAATAGATGAAATCAGTGTACTCAAACATGGTTTTCCGCCTAATAGACCCCTGTTTTTCACTCTTTAACATGATATCTAGAGCTAGAAAGGACATCTGCAAACTATTCTTGGCCCGAGAACCCACTATCCCCTGATTAATTATTTCTTTTGCAAACCGATATACCTTGGTTCACATCTCAAACTGTTTTAACACTATTCTGGCAAAATTTCCAGTCATTTTATTGTTTTCGAGCTTTTTGATCATCATCTCCACATAAAGGGTTGTTGTTTGTTGATATACTCAACCTTGTCGATGACTTCCTTCAATGGTCCATCCATGCACCCTCACATGCATATTTTTTGACACACTAAACAACATCATACTACACCTCTCAATGGCGCATGACAATGATTCTCCAATTGTCTTTTTGACGCTTACTCATGTCCTTAACCAATCTTGACTGCCAGGTTTGCTAGTTCAAAACATCCTCTCAACTATTGTTTATCGCATTTTGTTTAGATTTATTTTTACCTTTGGCAATAAGCGGTTCTTTAGACCTTCTTAAGACAAACCCCTATCTTTTCAAACCTACCACTCATTATTGAAAAAGTCAAGGGGTTGAACTACCCAATGTGGACTCTTGACGACACTTTGTGGATTAGCGGTCTTGGTTATTTTTTTTAAGAGTTATTGAGAGAAAGAGAGGAGGTCGAAGCGAAACTAAAAATGATATCTTTTATTTTATTCAATTGATTTACAAGAGTCTCTTTATATTGAAAAACAAAAAGTAAAACTATCATAGTAACAATTGGCAGACCTAACTAATTGAATAACCAAAAGCTTAACTACTAACAAACTCACAGAAAGTTAGAAAACATATTAGCCATTTGATTATAAAATAGTCATTGTTGTGAATGCTTGACTCTAAATGTTGAATCTACTGTAGGAATCCACTCTCCCAAATCGTTTGTTCGACACCATGTTATCTGTGAATCAGCTTGGATTAAGTCACATGCCCTTTATACAAATTCCATTCAACATCTAAACGGTGTTTGTCATGACATAACGACCCTCATTGCTTTTCAATGTTTTGATCGCTCTATTTCTGCATATTGGGTCAGTTTGTGCCAATTTGCATGATTTCAACAAACTTTTATCTTCTTCCTTCAATATTCCAGCTAAAGCTGAGAATGAACTTCAGAATTGCAGTGCCTTCTTTATGGTTTGTGTCTTTTATGTATTGCGCTTAGAGTATTTTGGTACTTGTGACCTGGTTCTTGTATTACTTATGGATGATATTCGCCTTCTTTGTACTTCAAATTCCCCCAAAGATTCTTACATACAGTTGTGCTCCTCTGATAGGTGATATAGTTGCTCTTGCAAACAATCACTTTAGACGCTCTTTAACTAGGATATCTCAATCCAAGAATTGTTATAGGAATACCATTGATGCTGCTTGGTATGCTCCCTCATCTAACAAATGTGGCCACTACACCTTTTGTGGAATCTCCTCAACTTGTTGATCAATCACAAGCCACCTTGCTACTTGTGAGTATTTTGTCAAGTGGTTTGAGAGTCATCAGAATCCTACTACTACTACTACTACTTTAGTTGCACAAACTTGTAATTCTATTGCTTGCATCGCACAATCTCCTTCTCTAGGTTGTTTTGTGCTTAACTCTAGCGTGTTTGACTATATCTTTGGTAATCATTCCCCTTTCTCTTCCCTTTCTTCATATGGCTTTTTACCCACCATTTCTTTTGCCAATGGTCACATTCAAATGGAATTGACGTGACATCTCTTTTCTTCCTTAACTTTTGAGTTTGTTCAATGTCTACATGATTGTTCTTTTAACTTGCTTTTTGTCCATCATCTCACTTGTATTTGTATTTACCAAATATTCTATTTCCTTAGTGGAATGAACTTGAGGATAAATGATTGACATCAAATGTGAGTCTTATGTTCTCTAGCAGCCCTCTGCATTGTCATAATCATGCTCGACCACAATTTATCAATGGATGATCAGTGGGACATCTTGGGATTTACCTAAACCTTAAAAGTTTGCACCCAATCTCTTTAGATTATCAATTCTTCATTTTGAGTTATTCTAGTTGAGAAAACACATTCATAATTCATTTTTTGATTTAGTTAATTGTTGAGACATGTTGTTTTTACTTTTTAGTATTATCTGTGTATGTTCCTTAGACTAGGGTTAAGGGTTTGAGTTGAGGTCCATATCCTCTTTATTGTATCTACTTTATTTATAAATACAATGTAATATTGCCTTTTGACACTATATTGAAACCCTAAATAAGTTTCTCAAGTTGGTATCAAAGCGGGTACGATCTTGTACTGATTTCTGGTCCTGTCATCTTCGGCCATCGTGGGCCGCTGTTTGTCGCTAGCCACCATCTCAGTTTGTTCTGGTGAAGGTGGGGTTTTGTGCATCTTGAATAGCACAACCGAATCCCGCCAATCGCTCCTCCATCTGAGGCCCCACACACCGTCACGCACAGCTTCTCCAACGGAGCCCTTGGGTGCATGTGTCCCATGTGCCACCCTCTTGTGGCCATATCAAGGCCAATTATCATGGGTTAACTCGTCGGTGTCCTCCGAGTCTAGTGGGGCCCTTATTTTTTCTATTTTGAGAACTTTGGAAGCTAGATCACATGGGTACCCTATTGGTTAGGTTTATATTTCATCTCTGATTCATATACATGGCTTTATGTAGTGCTTTTTCTTTGCTACTTCCACCATAAACAATGTCAAACTCAACTAGAAAAATGATCTATTGTGGTCTGCATCAGTTGAACTATGGTTGTTAGGTCAAGGTATCATGACCATCTGGAGAAAGATGTGAACTCTGTTTCTGCCTCAGAGAGGTCTCAATGGGAGGAAATAGACTTCCAACTTTGTGCAATCTTATGGTAGTGTGTGGAACCTGAAGTTCTTGAGCTTCTCAGGTCATTCAAAACCTGCTCTTTCTTTTGGAAAAAAACTCAAGACATTTTTGCTAACGATATTCAGCGTTTCTTTGATGCAACTCAAAGAGTGACGTCTCTCAAGCAGACAAATCATGACATGATGTCTCACATTGCAAAAGTTAGGGTTGTTGTGGAGGAATTAAAAAGGTTTCTTGTGGCGAATACCTTAGAGGAGTTAAACTCCAAACTAGATAAGTTGTATATGGTCTTAATTTTGAGGAGTCTGCACTCTGATTTTGATCATGTACGTGATCAAATCTTAGCTGGTGATCAGGTTCCGTCAATAGATAATATTGTCACGAGGTTGGTTGAAGTTCCCAATATTATGACAGATGAGATGAAACTTCAGTATGGTTGCTCCTCGTGGTCGAGGGATAGGACATAACAGTCGAGGAGGACGTGGAGTACAAAAGGTCATCCTCAATGTTCCTATTGCAAGAAGATGGGACACACGCAAGAAACTGCTATTGCTTACACGGTTTTCTTGATAGGAATACTACTGCCCATGTCTCTAAGTCTAAAAAATCGGATATGAAGATATCTAATGAGGAGTATCAAGAGTTTTTGAAGTTCAAATTAGGAAAATTCAATAGCCAAGATCAATCTTCTTCAATGCCTAGTGTTTCAACAACATACATTTCTTAATCTTTGGAAGGTCAGAACCCATGGATTCTTGATTTAGGTGCCTCTGATCATATATCTAGTAATAGTTCCTCATTTTCCTTCATATCTTATCCCAAAATTCTTCATTTGATTACTGTGGCTAATGGATCTAATGTAAAGTCACAAGGAATTGACCATGTTCCTTTAACCCCTTCTTTGAATTTAAATTCTGTTCTTTTCATTCCTAATTGCCCTTATAACTTGATTTCTCTAAGTCAATTGACTCGTTCTTGAATTGTTTTGTAACTTTTATTTCCAATTCTTTTGTTATTCAAGAACATGGTACGGGTTGTCTGATTGGAGAAGGACATGAATCACGTGGTTTGTACTATCTGAATCCAAGTCCTTCGGTGTCATGTCTTGCTTCTCCTGCTCCTAAACTTTTGCATGATTGTCTGGGTCACCCAAGTTTATCAAAATTGAAAGTGATGACTCCTAATCTCAAACATCTTCGGGGTTTAGAATGTGAATCTTGCAAATTAGGAAAACATGTTATGTTTACCTTTCCTAAACACTTTGAAACTTAATGTAATTTTCTTTTTTCAAATATTCATTTTGATATTTGGGGACCGAGTCGTGTCTCTTTATTTGACTTCCAATATTTTGTAACCTTTATTGATGAATTTTCCAGATGTACTTGGATTTATTTAATGAGAGACAGATCTGAAAAGGGTACAAATGTTGTTCTCCATCCACCAAAAGGTATTACATGTCTGCTGACATCACCTTCTTTGAGGAAACACCCTTCTTTTCTTCCCTCATGGAGGATGATCCCTCTATTCAAAATGTCTTTCTTGTACCTTCATGTAATCCACTTATAATAACTAATCCTTCTCCAATTCAAGCTAGAGGTCTCAATAATTCTCCTCCTCTTCTTACATATCACCGTCGGACCCACATATACCTTTACCAGATTCTGCAGATGATCGTGATTTAGAACCTTCTCCATTAGCTTCTCATAGCATGGATCCTTCAACCTTTTCTCCCACTTCTGATTCTGGATGATGGCCTATTGCACTCAGAAAAGGTATTCGTTCCTCTCGGAATCCCTTTCCTATTTATAATTATTTAAGTTACAATTGTTTGTCTCTTTCATATTCATCTTTTGTTGTCTATTTGGCTGACACCACTATTCCTAATACTGTCCATAAGGCTCTTGATCACCATGGATAGCGACAAGTCATGATTAATGAAATGCAGGGTCTTGAGCACAATGACACTTGGGAGCTTGTCCCTCTTCCTCCTGGCAAAAAGGTTGTGGGGTGTAGGTGGGTCTACGCAGTTAAAGTTGATAATAATGGTAAAGTGGATTGTCTTAAAGCTCGTCTAGTAGCTAAAGGCTACACTCAAATTTATGGCCTCGACTAATGTAATACTTTCTCTTCCGTAGCTAAGATTTTCACTATTCGTCTTTTCCTTGCTATGATTATTATTCGTCATTAGCCCTTTCACCAACTCGATATTAAAAATACATTTCTTCATGGTGATCTTGAGAAAGAGAATTATATGGAGTAATCTCCTAGTTGCTCAGGGGGAGTCTGGTTTAGTGTGTAAGCTACACCAGTCTCTTTATGGCTTGAAGCAATCACCCCGAGTTTGGTTTGGGAAATTCAGTCATATTGTGCAGTTGTTTGGCTTGAAAAGAAGTCAAGCATATCACTCAGTGTTTTATTGTCATTCCTTTTTAGGCAAGTGTATGTATATCTTATGGTTTATGTTGATGATATTGTTATTACAGACAATGATTATACTAAGATTAGCCAACTGAAGAATTAACTATTTGCTCACTTCCAAGTCAAAGATCTCGGTTAATTGAAGTATTTCCTTGGTATTTAAGTGGCGTAGTCAAAGGAAGGTGTGATCATCTCTCAAAGGAAGTATGTTCTTGATCTTCTAAAGGAGATAGGTTTACCAAATTACAAACCCATTGATACCCAATGGACCCTAATCAGAAATTGATGGGAGATAAAGGAGAAAAGTTGTGAGACCCAGAAAGATATAGGAGGTTGGTTGGTAAACTCATTTACTATTACTAGACCGGATCTTTCTTATGTAGTTGGAGTAGTTAGCCAATTTATGCAAAATCCTTATGCTGGTCATTGGTATGCCTTGATTCACATTCTAAGATTTGTTAAAGGGGTCCCAGAACAGGTATTGTTATATGAAGATAAAGGTAATACTAAAATTGTAGGTTATTGTGATAAAGATTGGGCTGGTTGTCCAATTGATAGAAGATCTACTACTGATATTGTATCTTCATTGGATGAAATTTGATTTCTTGGAAGAGTAAAAAGCAAAGTGTTTTGCTCAATCTAGTGCAGAAGCTGAGTATAGATCTATGACACTTGCTACTTGTAAACTTGTGTGGATCAAAGAACTCCTTCAAGAATTAAAATTCTATGATAATGGGCAGATGAAGTTGTTTTGTGATAATCAGACTGCTCTCCATATTGCCTCCAACCTAGTGTTTCATGAAAGAACAAAACATATTGAGATTGATTGTCACTTTGTTAGAGAAAAGTTTATGTTTAAGGAACTTGTAACGGAATTTGTAAGCTCTAATGAGCAACTGACGGATATTTTAACTAAATCCTTGAGAGGACCTAAGATTCAGTTCATTTGTTCCAAGCTTGGTGCAGACAATCTATATGCTCCAGCTTGAGGGGGAGTGTTGAGACATATTTTTACCTTTTAGTATTTTCTGTGTTTGTTCCTTAGACTAGGGTTAAGGGTTTGGGCTGATGCCCATATCCTCTCTATTGTATCTACTTTATCTATAAATACAATGTAACAATGTCTTTTGTCATAATCATGCTCGACCACAATTTATCTATGGATGATCAGTGGGACATCTTATTTACCTAAACCTTAAAAGTTTGCACCCAATCTCTTTAGATTAT